GCTACAGAAGGTTAAACTTCTTGCAGAGAAAGAAAAGAGAATGACAAATATCAGTTTTGTTAATTATCTCAGTGACAAGCTAAACCCCCGGGAAAGGGACTCCAAAGATAACCGCTGCCGTGGTGATGCCAGTTCTCATCAAGGACTCCTGGTCAAAGGAAACTTGCAGCCACAGAGACCCTCTCTGCAGTTACTATCACCACAGTAACTAAGCACCATCTAAAGGCTGTAACCACCTCCTCACAACATGCCTTTCTTCTCGGGTTTTCACAGATGTGATTCCATCTGGAGCTTTCCCAGCAGTGTCTCACCGTTCCCTGAACACATGCAAAAGACAGTATCATAACGTGAGCAAATACAAGCCTTTCCCCACCGCTGTGCCTTCTCTGAGGAACAAAGCAAGACCACCCAGTGCTCCGTGTGAAACAGAGGGTTTTCTGGCTGAGCGGTGAAAAAAGAAAAGCAGGTGCTATTGTACTTTTCCATCACTGTGAAAATGAAATAGCTATGAATGCTAAGGGAAGCTGTATGTGAGCCTCAGGATGGGAATCAAAATGATGAAAGCATCATCTCAGCTGAATTTAGGTGAAAGTGAAAGTGTCAGTCGCTCAGTCGTGTCAGACCCTTTGAGACACCTTGAACTGCAGCCTGCCAGGCTCCTCTGTCCATGGAATTCTCCAGGCAAGAAGACTGGAGTGGGTAGCCATTCCCTTCTCCAGGGGATCTTCCTGACCCCAAGATTAAACCCAGGTCTCCTGCATTGCAGGTGGATTCTTTACCATCTGAGCCACCAGGGTGACTTGCTCCTGTATTTCACATGTGTAAGAAAAGGATTAAGGGGTTGTCCAATCACAAAATGTATCTTTCTAGATTCCATTTTAAGATAGTCATGGCTGAGCAGTTTCAAAGTCCTACATGGTTTACTGATTTCATCCTCTTACCCCCTGACAAAAAAATTTTAATTCAGGTCTATCTCTACAAAGACCAGGATTTCAAAAATAGAGATCACAAAGTATATTAAGGGTAATAGTATACTTAAAGATAATGCAAAAAATGATTACAGTACACTTTAGAAATTAACGTTAGGCCCATGGATAAGTTCTCAGGTAAGCTGGCTAAATAACCAGTATCAACAAAGTGATGACTAGTTAAGAAAGTTACAAGGATATGTGTGCAGAAGTGTCTCTCTAAGCGTCTGCAAGAAATTTATCTACTGCTTTCACTGCAATCTACAAACTGTGATTTCACTTAATATTTATGTGATTGTGAGATGTTATTGCATTACTGATAAATGTGGGGGGAAAAAAGCACTTTTAAAACAGTCATTGTAGAGAGACTTCACTGGCAATCCAGTGGTTAAGATTCTGCACTTCCACTTCAGGGGAACAGGTTTGATCTATGGTTAGGAGCTAAGACCCCACATGCCTCACAGTCAAAATGCCAAAACATAAAAAACAGAAGGAATAGTGTAACAAATTCAATAAGCACTTAAAAAAAGAAAAGATCCACACCAAAAAAAAAAAAAAAATCTAAAAACCACAAAGTAAATAAAAAATAAAAATAAATTAAAAAGTTATTGTACCACTGAACACAGTATTTTGTCCAGAGAGTTAAAGCTACAAGGTAAAATAGTAAGAAGGAATTTTCTTATCCTTACAGATGAGTCCATACTCACGTGAAAATTATAACTAACCCATTGCATTTGATAAGCACCTGCAGAAGTTAGAAATTTTTTTTTCAAGAACAGAAAAGAAATAAAAGGTAATAGAAAAACAAATCAGTCTAAGGTAATTGGGGAAGATAACTGGATAATGAAGAAAAAAATCCTCCATGGCAACAAAATAGAGATTATTTATGTACATTTACAAGTCAATGAGCTCCAGATGTATTTTTTAAAAATCTACTTCTCCCCAGGTGTTTTCTTTTTTTTGCCTAATAAATATAAAATCCAAGTTGGAATATTGTTGAAGTGTTGCATCATCTAAATTTTGGCGATGCTCTTTCTTCTGCTGTTAACTATTGTGAACTATTTCTCAAGCAGCCGCTACTGAAATCGTTAAGTACTAGGCTTGGTAGAGCCAAAGAGAAAAAGTGCAGTCCACAGATCTGCTTCTTCTGTTTTCCCAAAACAGAATCTCATAAAAAATATGCCCTCAAATTTTGTCACTATGTAGCTGTCAGAAAGAGAAATTCTGCTTCTCTTTGTATCTCTGAACACTAAACCCATTCCTTGTGCTACTGGGAAGTTATATAGCTCCAGGAAGCTGCGAAGCACCATCACAACTGTTCAGATTGTATCCAGGCAGAATAATCAATCCATCAGAAAACTTCAGTTCCAGTTGGATGGAAGTTTTTTGGGCCAACTTGGAAAAGCATACCGAACAAGTTTGACTTCACTGCCAAGATCATTTCCAGGACATTGGCTAATTAATTATAAAAGCTTTTTCAAAACAAATTTGAGCCTGGCAACCTTTTTTCCTACCCAAACAGAGAAAAAGCAGGCTAAAAAATAAAAAGCCTGAATTTATTGCAGGGTTTTATGTGTGTGTGTGCCAGGGTTTCATCTTCTTAGCAAGCCTATTTTCTTCTCACCAGAAAATGATCCAGGAGCTTTTGTATTTGAAGTTAATAAGACTGTAGGTATATAAGCTGGAAATATTAGTTTGCATTTGTATTCTACTTTTGATTATAGAGGAGATCGTGGGTCAGTTACAAAGCGCCTCTTCAAACTCGGTGGGAAGCAAAGATGAAGTTTCTTTCTCTTTGAGGGGATGAAGGGTTCATTGGATGAACAATGGCTATTGTATTAGATAAATGAAGATGGACAGTTGCTCTTTATAATGATATACTCATCATCTGCATTTTCTAGCTTTGAAAACAAAAAGAACAAAATTCCTGAATTAAATCTTCCTGGTTTCAATATCATATGAACCTTGATGAATAGGAGACACTGGAGATAAGCATCAGAGATTCTGGTTTTAAGGACGACACAGGCTTTATTTAGTTAAATCAACACCCCAAATCATAAAGTTCCAACCTATTTCTTCTAACACAGGAATCAAAATCTTATATAATACACATCTTAAACCATCAAATTTCTTCTGTATATGCTCAGATATGAAGACAACCAAGAAGGTAAGAAATTTCTCTCAATATTTACCAGCAGCTATTGATAAATGCCTGACAAGAGAAGAACTGTCCCCAGTAAAAGAAGTCTTCCTGAGAAATTGCCAGGTATTCCTAACTTCCTTATCCTGTATCAAGGCTCCAATAAATCTCACAATTAGAATGCTGCTTTGTCAATCTATGGAGCCAAAATGTACAAACTAGTTTTGAGTAAAATTCTCAACAAGTTCTAGTGGACTGAGTTTTCCCTTTCAGTACTGTTATGATCCTACCAATGCATTCAATATTTAGACAGTCATCCTCCACAGTATATCAAGAGGTAGGCCAATGGTAGGGAGGAGTGCTATCCATATTAGCATTTAAGAGTAGGTGGCAACTTTAGAAGTCAAGAATTAATCTCAATGCTGGGGAGGGGGGTGCAGTAATTAAGCCTAACCAAAGCAGAGTCACTCTTCCGGGAAACACAGGTAAGTTAAAATGAGAAAGATTATACCAGATTTCAGAGAATCTTTAAAGGTGACATATTCTGAACTTAACTTGATAGAAGCGAGTACAAGCTTTTGACCTGGGGGTGGAGGGGAAAGATAAGAACAATAACATGAAAAGTGTATTGAATTAGAAGAAAATGAGGACAGGGTTATTCCAAAGCTGGTTAGAAGGAGAATAAAGAATCCAAAAGTCACTTTACAAGAAAGAACATAATTTCACCTTTCCAGTACTTTTGAGAATTCACTAAGGTCTGAAAACCTCTGTCTAAAGAGGAACACTGTTGTAAATAAGGCATCACTGCCTTAGGAATATATAATTGAGATTTATTTATTTATTCAAGTAGAATTTTCAACCCATTAGCTCAAATAACTCATTTTATTCTTTAATGCAAAGTACAAAAGTGCTGAAGAATTGATGCCTTCCAACTGTGGTGCTGGAGAAGCCTGAGAGTCCCTTGGATAGCAAGGAGATCCAACCAGTCAATCATAAAGGAAATCAGTCCTGAATATTCATTGGAAGGACTGATGCTGAACCTAAAGCTCCAATACTTTGGCCACCTGATGTGAAGAACTGACTCATTGGAAAAGACCCTGATGCTGGGAAAGACTGAAGGCAGGAGGAGAAAGGAATGATAGAGGATGAGATGGTTGGATGGCATCACCGACCCAATGGACATGAGTTTGAGCAAGCTCCGGGAGATGGTGAAGGACAGAGAAGCCTGGCGTACTGCAGTCCATGGAGTTGCAAAGAGTCAGACACGACTGAGCTACTGAACAACAGCAAAGTACAAAATTATACCTAGTCACCATTTTTAACTTGTTCAAGTCCAGGTACTCACTCAACTAGGAAAATGACCCAGTTTCTATTATAATCTTTTTAAAAGAAAACAAATTGAGGTTCAAAACTTAATTGCTTTTCATTTCAAATAGGTTACTTACCATATATTTTAATAGGCAAATACACAGCTAACAAGACTATCATTACCTTTGCCTAAAGTATCCCCCTAAAGTTCACAACAGACAGCATTCCCTAGCCCTTCACAGTTCAGCAGAGCACTTTTTTCATAGATTACCTTATTTAAGCACTACTACAAACCTGAGGTAGTAGTTATTACTACTATTTTAAAGCTGAGAGAACTATAGTTTCAATATTTAAACTGCCCAAATGAAGATCTCTGGACTAAGCTAACTCTTATCTTCTGGACTTCAAATCCCTTCACAAACTGCTTCCCCTTCTTTCCAAGGAGGTGAGGAAAAAAAAAAAAAAGCCATCAACACATACTGGTTCATTTTAAGTTAGGAAACCACCATTTCTCATCTCTTCCCAGCATCTTCTAGAAATACATTTAGTCTTACACTTTAAAGAAGCAAGAATTCCTGGCTTACCTGGTCCTTCTCTGGTTTATCGGAGATGTCATTCAGGCTGGAAGAAGTCAGATTCCTGTGGGTCATGGCTGGGCTACCTGTAAAAACAGAAGGGGCCCGTCATTAAAGAATTCTTGTCAAAAGCACAAAGCTTTTGGCTGTACACTTCATGAACGCTAGTAGATGATGATGGGAATGGTGATGGTGCTTGAGCTCTGTTAGGACTTTCCCGAAGAGTTTTCCAGAGTTAGAAAGTAAGGTGAGAGCACTAACATGGTTAAACAAAAAATATCTCAAGGACCTTGTTTAAGTCTTCTTTCTTGGCTCTATTTCAAGATAAATCCAGCTTTGAAAGAAAGGTGTAAAACTTCTAAGCATAAAAATAAATTTACTCCTGGTTTCGGCTTGCCCTTTACACACATCCTAATCAATCTGTTTCTTTGCCTATAGATGTGGACTCCTTCCTCATTTCAGCAAAGCTGGCCCCAGGACAAAAGGCCTGAACCTCCTCTCTGCCAGCCTCTGCAGTCCTTCCTAGGCACCATCAACCCCCTAAACCATCTGTATTCCATTCTCTGGCTAACATTTGATCAAGAATATTTCTCCTTAGTGGGCATCTGAGCCAGGACCCCTACACTTCTCTTCAGTGTTATCCCAGCTCCCCTTACTTCTTGCATTCCCATTTACCAGATTAAAATAAGCATATCCCATCTTCCTCACTAATATGCCAAACTTCTCATTCAAGTCAACGGACAGATTTTATCAGGAATACCCCATGGACAAGCTCCCCAGAAGTATAGCTGCTGTAGATAAAATCCACTGGCAAATCAGCCAGTGACTTCAGATGCAACCACACGAGAACAGAGAAGGGGACATGTAGATGAGAGACCATTTTCAAATAGACTGGTTAATCAACAAAATACTGAGCTTTCATTTTGCAGGTGAACTTGAAATTTCTCAGCTTACTAAGCAAAAGAATAACTTTTCAAAGGCAGGGTGTTTGACCCACCCCTGCAAGGTGCTGAGTAATGTGTTCCCCATTTAATCCTCAGTGATCTGACTCAGTCTGGTCTTCACACTAGGAGGACAAGGGTTGAAAAACAAACACCTAAGTTCAAACACAACTTCATACTTGCTGCCATATAATTCTTCAGATCACAGACTTCCATTCCTTCAGGCCAAAACATCAGCACAAAATTTTACCAAAGACTAAAATCTACTCCTAATAACTTAATATCTATATAACAGCTGCTCTTTAAATAATATAATTGTCTATAACTACTAGATCAATTTTCTTGAGCTGGCAAAACCAGAATTATTTTCCACTCTGCTGCATTTCATTGAGTAAGCATGGCCTAGATCTCTTAAACCCTTTACCTGGTAGGATGTTTTATTCTAGGAAAATTTAAGCATAGGGCATTATTCAAAGGAAAGTAACATCTGAAAAAACTGCTTTACGAGCACAATTAAAAGAACCTCTTTGAAAGCCAAATTTTCTTCTCTGAACCGCATACAAGGTTTCTAGGGTCCATTCAATACAAAAGACACCAGGCACAAACACGAATGCCCCCAAATAATGCTGGGCTAGAAACTAACAGGAATTGATGAGTACATACAATTTTGTACTTTACATTAAAAAACAAAACCAATTTGTTTTTTTTTTTTTACTAAACGGGTGAAGATTCTACCTACATAAACAAAAAAAAAAAACACAAAAACCTGAACTATTTATTCTTTTTTCCCCTGAACTTTAAACTTTTTATTTTGTATTGGGGTGTAGCCGATTAACAATGTTGTGGTAGTTTCAGGTGAACGGCAGAGGGACTCAGCCATACATATACACATATCTATTCTCCCCCAAACCCCTCTCCCGTCCAGGCTGGCGTATAACACTGGGCAATGTTCCATGTGCTATACAATAGGTCCCTGTTGGTTATCCATTTTAAATACAGCAGTGTGTAAATGACCATCCCAAACCCCCTAACTATCCCCCACCCCCCCAGCAACCATAAGTTCCTTTCCTAAGTCTGTGAGTCTCTTTCTGTTTTTTAGGTAAGTTCATTTGTATCATTTCATTTTAGACTCCACATATAAGGGATGTCATATGATCTTTCTCCTTCTCAATCTGACTTAACTTACTGAATTATATATTCTTAAAGCAATGAAGCCTTAGCAATCCTAAGTTTAAAGCAGCTTATGTAAATAAATAGGTATACTGATTTCTAATTATTAAATCAACTGTATATAAGCATTAATACTGAAATGAATTTGAAAGCAATTTTCCATTAAGTAATTTAAATTTTCTAGGCAAAATTCTAAACTCATTGATTTACATCGGAAATTCTTCATAAATACTGCAATGGTACATTTCACCCAAGCACTGTCCTAACTGCTGCAAAATCTGAAGCAAACAAGTAAAGTTTCCATTATAATGGTAATCCTGACTGACGTTACAACTTTTCCAAGAAAGCTCATATACTGCCACATTTCTCTCATTTCTGAAAGATAGTTACAGGATAGCTCTCTGTATTTGTATTATATTGCGGCAGGGGGCGGGGGGGGGGGGGGGGTGGGGGTGGGGGGGGCATAGAAAAGGCACAGGACCAAGGAAGATGCAGGAACCAGATGGGGAAGAAGAGGCCACTGTTAGAAACAATCACATCCATTGTCCCTCCCAACTTTATCTGATTCTCATTAATAAAAGTAATATTAACAGCTTCACTGATGTTTAACTTTGTAACAGACTGAAAGAATTCAGAAGTCAACACTTCTAGGTAAACCTTAAGCAAGATGATCAGCATTCTTGCATCCTTTCCCACCTCCTTCCCCAGTAAACTCTCCACCTCTATCCTCCACAACACCCTGAACCAAAGACAAAGGCTTCCCAGTGTTCCAATTCAGTAGTTCCCAAAGGATGGTCCCCAGACCAGCAGTAGCAGCATCACCTGAGCACGTATTAGAAATGCAAATTCTTCTGATTCACCCCAGACAAATTATATCAAATGCTGGGTATGGGGCCAAGCAAGGTGGGTTTTACCAAACCTTTGAAATGATTTTGAAGTAAGTGAAAGCTGGAGAACCACTACTCTAAATAAACAAGTTTCTTAACCACAGAATGTGTCCTAGTTGGAACTGAACTGCATGAAACATACACAAATTGAAATAGCAAAAGAGGAAGATATGATAACCTTGTCCTCCTCCAAGCCATTGCTCCAAACTGTCACATCTCAAGCAAATCATGGAGTTAGCGCCTTTGCCACGTAAACACACACAAAAAGAACTGTACACAGCCTTTCCTCTAACTCTTCGCCTACACAATCAATAGGCTTCCCTGGTAGCTCAGCTGGGAAAGAATCTGCCTGCAAGGCAGGAGACCTGGGTTCAATCCCTGATTTGGGAAGATCTCACGGAGAAGGATCTCATGGAGGAAGATGAGAAGGCTGAATCACATCACCGATGCAAGGGGCATGAACTTGGGCAAACTTTGGGAGATTGTGAGGTACAGGGAGGCCTAGCATGCTGCAGACTATGGGGTCGCAAAGAATCAGACATGACTAAGTGACTTTAGCATGCACACATTCAATGAATATCTTTGTTATCAGAATTCACTATTTAATCAGCCTTTTCTAGAAACATATCACCCAAATCAGAGAAGGCAAGGACAAGAGATTACAAACCAGATTATACTTGGGAATCAGAAATTGCCGTGTGGCACTTCAGCAAACCTGGGAAACTTACACATTGTTCTAGTCAATAAGACACATTGGCTAAGTCAGTGTTTTCTAGAGTTTTGGCGTATAATGTAAACTCAATATACTGCAATATTGAGTGAGTGGGGGTAGCGGAAGCAAATGTCACTGTGAATCAAAAAGGTGAAAGAGAAATGTACCCAAAAGTATGCTACTTATTGTGCAGGTAAAGATTCATCTACTCAGAGCAGCAGAGGATACAGTGGGTTGGATGGCATCACTGACTCAACAGACATGAATTTGAGCCACCTCTGGGAGACAGTGGAGGACAGAGCAGCCTGGTGTGCTGCAGTCCATGGGGTTGCAAAGAGTTGAACGCAACTTAGCAACTGAACCACCACCACCACTAGTAGGCCTTTTCTATCTAATACACAGGGCAAATGAATGTTTTATAACCGCTCCTGGTCTAAAGCAACTTTGTTTTTTCCAGTCTGATTTTTACAACAGAAAAAGAAGAACCCGCCTTGAGTGAATAATCATAATAATTTCCATATCATTGTATTTTGGCCATAAGAAAAAGAAAGCTTGGAGGAGCACATTTTCAAGCTGTTTCACACAATCGAAAACAATTTCATTTTCAAAGTACCCACTTGGCAGGTACATACTGTCTTCTATAAAAATTAATTACATTCTGTACTAAGTTTGAAAATCATTGTTATTCTTTAGCACACATGTAGCAATTCATAAAGTCCTTTGCAACTGTATCTGTTAGATACTATAAAAAGAGGTAGGAGAATGTACAGCATAAAAATGATGATACTTATATGTACACATGTTAAGTAAAAATGTAAATGTGTATGTGATGCAATGACACATAAACTGACCTCCCCATCTCATACCCTCATAATGAGCCTACAGGATATATTCTCTGTACACCTCACTGACTTACTGATACTTTTTCCCCCTTTGTTGACATAAAAAATCTATTAGAAGATGTGTATATCTAAGATTAAGAGTCAACTAATCTTTCTGAGCACTAAGTACTTTAATTTACATTACCTTACTTAATCCTCAGATAAACACTCTGAGATCAGTATCATTATTACCACTTACACATAAACAAAATGAACTTCAAGTTCATGACCACACAACAAGTATCAGTTTAAATCCAGATCTCTTAATAACAATCTAGGGACGTGGGGGGTGGGATTGGTCTATGTTATTTACATAAATAAACATACAAACATCATCATTTCTAATGAAGAGAAAATATAATGTACAACCACAAAAGATATATCCTATTTCCATGGCAATTATGTGCAATATAAAATCACCAAGGAGGTTTAAGCCAAAAATGTTCTTGGTTTCCAATTTAGCTTCTCCCAAAGATGGAGACTGCACTTCTTTAC